TGCTTATACCTCAGGGCCCAGCCCCAAAGCAGAGACAGGCCCCAAAGCCTGGCACAGGCTGTGCTCCTTTCTTACTGGCCAGGGTCAGAGAGGGCTCAACCTGACTTGGAGCTAAGCCTCTTACTCCCAACTACCAGTAGGAGTGATTCACCTCGTCCTGTTTCTACGGTGAGAAGATCTGGTAGAGGGTCAGAAGAAGACTTAGCAGTCTCACTTCTCCCCATTCTCATACCAGGTTGTGATATGTCAGCTTGGCTGGGCTATGGTTCCTAGTGGTTTGGCCGAACAGTAGACTAGTTGCTGTTCCGTTATGTAATCTAACTTAATGTAACATAGTTATTTTCCATAATGGAATCGAATGTAATGTAGTCAATCAGTTGAAAGGGGAGTTTCCTTAGGGTATGGTTTGCCTATAGACTATAAATATATATATTTTGGAAATAATATAGCTCCCTCTATATTATTATATCCTATAGCTATAAAACAATTTCAAAACCAAACCCATTGCTGTCAAGTCGATTCTGACTCATAGTGACCTTATAGGACAGAGTAGAACTGCCCCACAGGGTTTCTAAGGAGCAGCTGTTGGATTTGAACTGCTGACTTTTTGGTTAGCAGCCGTAGCTCTTAACCACTGTGCTACCAGGGCTTCAATTTGGCTATATATTATATTATGTATCATGTTCTATTATAGCTATATGAAATATATATATAGCTCTATATTTTTATGAATAATATAGCTCTCTCTTGCTCTACTCTGCACTGTTTCTGTCACCTGACTTACACATCTTGGGACACAAGCCTGCAGAAGTCTCCAGCCTGTCGCTCGACCTACAGATTTTGGACTTGCCAGTCCCCCACAACTGCATATGTCAATCCCTTGAAGTAAATCTCTCTCTCTATATACACACGTATCTCACTAGTTCTGTTTCTTTAGAGAATCCTTGACTAAGACACAAGCCTAATCCAGAGGCCGATCAGTCCCATCCCACACTGCTTTGCCTAGAGTACCTGATGTCTTTCTCCTGATCCAATACATGATGACCCCACCTAGGATGAAGATCAGGACTGAGGAGATGACAAGTGAGATGATGGAAATGTAGGACAGTTGAAACGTGGTTGGGACTGTGGATGGCGGTACTGCAATGGAAAAAAAACAGTTCAAGTTCTTGTCCCGATTCCAAACCTGAGGAGGCAACTCCTTCCTTAGCTGCTGCTGCCTAAGGGTAATTATACAACCACTCACATCCTCACCTGTCTGAGCTTCTGTTAGTTGGCAGCCACTCTACAGGTCCCAGGTTACAAAGGAAATGTCCCCAAGTGAGCTTATAAATATACTGATGTTGTTCTGTTACTGGGTGCCATTGAGCCAATTCTAACTCATGGTGACCCCATGTGTTACAGAGTAGAAGTGTTCCATAGGGGTTTCTTTTATTTTTTTTTCCTGTAATTCTAACGGAAGCAGACAGCCAGCCCTTCTTCTGTCGTACTGTTGGGTGGGTTCAAACCACCAACCTTTAGGTTAGCAATTAAGTACAAACCATTTGTGCAACCTCAAAACCAAATCAAACCTGTTGCCACTGAGATGATTCCGACTAATAGTTGACCCTAGAGGACAGAGTAGAACTGCCTCACAGGGTTTCCAAGGCTGTAATCTTTAAGGAAGCAGACAGCCGCATCTTTCTCCCATGGAGTGGCTGGTGGGTTTGAACAGCAGACCTTTCAGTTAGCAGCCATGCATTTTAACCATTGTGTAACCAGGCCTCCTTTTGTGTCACCTACGGACCTTTAAATATGCTGATAGAGGCCGAAAAATATACAATCAATCATAAGAGAATGTGGTAATTTTCTGCAGTCAGACTTTCAGAGCCCACAAGAAGAGGTGGCTAATTCCATCCTGGGAGAGGGGGAAAGGCTTCAGAGAAGGTGGTAGTTAGACTGGATTTGGATGACCGTCTATTTTGGCCAAGCAGGAAAGAAAATTCCAGGCAAAGGATGAACATGAACGAAAGATCTGGCAGCAGAAAGTGTGGGTGGCCCATCGGCTATTGGGGTAGGGAGTTGTGTAGTAAGGAAGAGATGTCAGAAAAGAGAAGTTTAAGGGAGAACGGTTGGAAAATCTCTATGGCAGACAGTGACTCCTGAAAAGGAAAATTCTCTAAGAAAGGATGTCAGTGAATCACCCTATCACTCTTTCTCTCTCATACATACGGACACACACATTTCAAGAGAGCCGACATATCTTGCTCACCCTCCTGAGTTACCTGTCAGCTCCAGCATATTCTCCTAGATCACCAAGAATTCACGAAGCCAGTCATTGCAATTTGCCTGTGATATCTTCCTGAAATATTCTGCTAATCGCCTGTCCTTCTGCCACTTCTCCTTGATGCTCATGGCTCCAGGATGACCCGCTGTACAGTTGGTCTTCACTGTGTCAATCAGGAGGAGCAGCTGCCCATGGATGCTGAACTGCCAGGATGCACCAGTGTACTGTTCTGCTTGTCGCTGACAAACTAGCTTGACCTGCAAGGTGAGAGGCCTGCTCCCAATCCACAAAGAGGTCACCCTACACTCTTGCCAGAGCTCACGCTCCCCATCAGTCCTGTTTTCTTCCACGCATTAGGGACCCAAACACTGTCTTCTAGATCTTGCCCATGGCCCTCTGGGGTTGGATCTATGTTCAGTTCCTTGATACAGATACATCCAATGGCCCTACCCTCCCATGTCTTCCGTTCATGTTTCCTTCTCCTGCTGACTGTCTCCAGGATGTGGGCTCCTCCAAACTTACCCATGGTTGTGTACTTCTCCAGCGCAATGTCTGGCAGGAGATTCCTGAGCTCTTGCCTCAAGTCTTTCAGAGTTTCAGTCTGTTCTTCCCATGTTTTTGTGGTGTTTACCTTCTCACCCACAGGACCCAAGGGTTTTGCCTTGTTGCTGTCACTCTCATAGTGAAGAAAAGGTTTTCCTTCTACAGAACCCTGAACTTCACACCAGGGCTGTGCAGGTCTGGTCCAAGTCATCACCGTGAAGCCATAACAAAGAGAGTGATAATCTCTGAGCAAAAAATTCAGGTGAAGGTTGAGGTAGGAAGATGTCTCCTTAGACCCCAACTCTCTGTGATCCCAGGAGGATCCCTCAGAAGGGATGGCCCATCACAGGGGGAGTCTGCATTCCAGACCCTCTCAAATCTTCAACCCATTCTCCTCTTTAACTATCTGGGGTTCAGTAAAATACTCTGATGCTCCTTTGTACCTTTCAGACATGCATACTGTTACCAGGAGAATTCACCTGACAGATATTTTTAGGGATATTTGCCAAGTTCGGAGGCACTAAAAATACAAGACAGTGTTGTCCTCCAGGGCCTTACATGCTGGCTGCATGGAAAGAATTTTCAACAGAAGGAAAAAAAGACAGTATCATAGGGCATACATGAAATCCATCATGGGCACAGGGTATTCAGGGAAGGCTTCCTGGACTAGGAGGTGGGACTTGGCAGTAGAGGGAAAGATACCATATGTAACACTGTCCCTTGTGCATGGGAGGGTGCCTGTGATCATGTGCTATAATTGAATTAGTCGGTGAGGAGGAAGAAAAGCCCATATGGGGTAGATGGATGGGGGGTGGGGGAGGGATTCCCAAGCCACAGCTAGGGATTCTGGAAAGTCTGGAGGATGGTGAGGTGAGCAACTTGGAGGGAAGGATTCACCAAGTGCAGGGATGAAAAAGAACATTATGGAGCTAGCCTGGGTGAGTAACATCCTGGGTATCTCCCTGTTAAGCCACACTCCCCTCCCTAAGGAAACAGGGATAGCTCACACTTGACACAAACAGATACAGCCCACTCCCCCTCTCCGTCCTGGCCCCAGTCTTACTTCTTATCGCTCCCATCCTGCTCCTTCTCATACCCTAGTCCTGGACGTCTGCAACCTGGATGGAGAATCCAGGGACTGTGATAGTGACGAGGAGCGGACAGAGTGGAGTGTAGAAAATGGGGAGGAGTAGTGGGACCTGAGTGAAGCCCTGTCACTGTCCCTGCCCCGCCCCCACTTTGCCCAGGTTGTCCAGGTCGAGCTGTCCCAGGACACTCACCACACAACATCCCGCAGTCTTCTTCCAGCAGCAGCAGCAAGAGGAAAAGAGATCTGATGAGTTGTGCCAGTGGCATTCCTGATGAGGAGCTGGGTCGGAAAGAAAACGTGAAGTGGAGGTTGGGTGCTCCTGCAAGAAGAAAAGACTGTCTCGCACGTTCTGACCTCACTATGCAGAGACCTCAGCACTACCCAAAGTCTCTACCCTTCACCAGGAAGACCACGATGAGCTGGATTCCTCTCATTTCACAAGCTTAGTCTCCAGGTCAGGAAATGACAAAATGTCCCTCAAATGGTGGCATTTGGTGACCCTGTGAAACTGGGATGTGGAGGGTGATGTGTCCACCATTGACATGAAGCAGGCAGTGGCTGTCTATCCTCAGTGTCAAGCGGAAGGCAAGCTTGAAGATTGTGTGGCGGCCTTGGGAGAAGGTAATCACTCCTTCCACATGGCTCCATGTCCCTCTGGGGGAACCGGCACAGTTTGCCCTCTCTGTCCTCTCTCCAGAGCCGGCAAATGAGAGGCCTGAAGTCTGAAGAGTGCTCTAGTTCCCAACTCTGGGTGGATCTTGTTACTAAGGGCCAGGAAGTGCTAGAGCACGCTATGGGTGAGAACTTCAAGTAGGAGAGGATTTGCCACCCTCTACACTCAATTAAGCACATGGTTTCATAGTCTGTCAGGTTTCTTTTGTTCAGAATCTTCTACATTTCAGTAGACAATTTATTAAAATGGTCTTCTTTACCATTGTCCTGTGCATTGCACAAATGACTTAGAAGAGCTATAAAAGTAGAATTACAAATTGAATGACCTTCACAATTTACCTATTAGAACCAATGGAAACGTTGAAAACAATTCTAATCAGGGAGATTGTTTTGCATGTTTATCATTGCTAATTTGTAAATACAGGGAATGTTTGGTAACAAATGTATTCCATTTTGAACATTCTTTTGCCTGCTTCCCTCAAAACAAAACAAAAGAAAACCCTCAATGATCAGGCTGCTTCTTGGAGCATCCCATGGCCTTTCCTCTCCCCACCTCGTAGCACCTCCCTCTCCGCTTCCTCTCCCCGCTTCTTTAGTGTCCACATTCTTCCCATTTTCCTTTCCATCCTCCCATATCTTCTCCAGTCTCTACCACTCTACCCCTATTCCTTTCAAACTACTTCTTCCTTCTCTTGAATGACTTAAGATTGGCTCTCTTAACGGGCTGAAAACAGCAGTACAGTATCTATCTGTCTCATCCTCAGTGATGGGTTTTATAATAGACTCTACTCTGATGGATTCAAGACCTTGAGGAAGCCAAGTGATTTATCACTGGGGAAAGTCTGGGGACCCTGCGTTCTGAATTGTGAAAAGTGGTGTAAGAGCAAAGCTTTAGACCACCTTGATGTTCCCCATCACTGTCACCTCTGGAGGTTTCCTCCTGTGACTCCAAACAGCTTTTCTCCCTTTGACACTCTCACAGCTATCTCATTCCTTAATTTCACCACACACACTCTTCTACGACTCTCCATTTTTATATAAAAAACCAAAACCAAACCTGTTGCTGTTGAGTCGATTCCAACTCCTAGTGACCATATAGGACACTGTAGAACTGCCCCATAGGGTTTTCAAGGCCATTTACTGGAGCTGACTGCCATATCTTTCTCACTCGAAAGTGGCTGGTGGGTTCGAACTGCCAGCTTTTGGGTGAGCAGTCGAGAGCTTAACAATTTCGCCACCAGGGCTCCTTTCCCTAGCCTGGCAGCAACTCATTTCTGACCCCACCTGTTGGACTGACTCTGCTGAGCAGCCACCTGTTTTAATAGGGGTGTGGCTGAGCTGCAATTGGAGTTCCGTTCCTATCGTTTGGGTGTAGTGGCATCATCAAGCGGGTGCAGAGGGTGTGGACTGCACCGCGTGACACTGTCAGAAGGGCTGACACCATAATGACTGTCTAAAAAGAAAACATTCTACTTGGCAGCAAGTGCGCAGGAACTTAAGCCCACCATAATGACTGAAGAACATTTGACTGGGCAGCAAACTTGCAGCAAGCGCTCCGGAAGTTAAGGGCTTGTACAGGGTTTCCGCGACAACCTCCTGCTTGCCCCGCTCGGTCACGTCCTCATGTCCGTCCCTCTGTCAGTCCGTTGGTCTGTCCGCCTCCGCCTCCCCCTCCCTCTCCCGTACAGGTCCTTCTTGGCGCCCAGCGCGGGATATGCGGGTGGGAGGGTCACCCAGACTCTCAGAGTGCCCACAGCCCGCGTTGCTCCCGGGCGGCGCTTGAGTGGCGGCGCCTGAAAGATCAAACACCGCGGATCCGGCTGGCCGGGGCCTTAGCGCGGGTCACCCGTGCTCTGCGTCCCAGGCCGCCGCTGCAGACACCACCTGTGCAGTTCTTCCCCCGAAGGCGCTAACTTTAAACCACTGGGGGTGGGGATGGGGGCGGAGCACCATAATGACTGCCCTGGGTGACACAACCCTAGTAACACCACCGCTGCGCGCCCACACTGGGCAACGCCCCTCTCCCCCCTGGTCTTCAGTTTCTCCACTTCGTGGTGGGGAGCTTCTTTATTCTCCTGCCCCATCTCCTTCCTCTCTCTCCAGTCCCGCCCCTCTCTCTGTCCTCCTTCCGGTCCCTCTTTACCGCTCACCCCGAGGTTTTCTCAGCCCTCACTGCTTCTGTCCCCGGAGCCCCCCGCTCGGGCGTGAAAACCAGGAGCCACGGACAGCGAGGCTCCAAGGACGCGCGGGGACGGCGAGAAAGCCCAGGGCCCGACCGCTTAGACACTCACGGCCAAGTGCGTCCGGGGCAGCTTCCAGCAGCAGCAGAAGTCGGATGTGGGGCTCGGAGCAGCGTTCGTGAGACCGGAGCCGGAGGGACAACCACTCCTGGGCGCTGCTTGAGGTGTTTACATTACGCTGCCGCCGCCTCCTTTCTCCGCCCCGCCGCCCGCCGCCACTTCTCACAGCGCCTTCGGACAGGCGGGTAAACCTGCAGCCGCGGACCGCCTGGCGGCCGAATGCGGAGGACGGACGCCGAGAGGGCTGAGAAAACCTCGGAGTGAGTGGAAAAGAGAGACTCGAGGGAGGGATGGAGAGAGGGGCCGGAGCAGCGGAAGGCTGTGGGGCAGGACAAGAAGAAGCCCCCTACACCTAAAATGAGGACTCACGGGGAAAGGGGCGCTGGCTCCAGTGCTGAGCGCGCAGTGTAGGATTCGGAGCGCAGCACACACAGTACAGGCCTATACCCTTCCCCACCCCATCTTAGCACCGCCCCCCCTTCATTAGTTTGAGCACCGCGGAGCGGCAGGTACGGAACTCCAATAGCAGCTCAGCCACACCCATATCAAGACAGGTAGCTCTTCAGCTGAGTCAGTGCAACAGGTGGGATCTGAAATGAGGCTGCTGGGGGTGGCTGGGGAAAGGAGCCTTGGTGGCGCAGTGGGTAAGCGCCGGGCAGCAAAACGAAAGTCGGCGCGCTGAGCGGAAGAGAGATGTGGCAGTCCGCTTCCATAAAAATGTAGTGCCTTGGAAACGCTAGAACATAGTTTTACTGTGTCCTGTAGGGTCACTATGGGTTGGAATGCACTCCGCGGAAAGTTTTTTTTTTTTTTTGGAGCTTGTGCAACTCAGCAAGAGGCGTTCTTCCTGTTGGAGAGAGTCTTGGTGAGTAGGAAGGCAGGCAGAAGGCCAGCCTTAAGACTGGGCGAGGACAGTGAGGGTTAGAAGGAAGGCAGGATTCCCTGGATCCCTGGGCCTTCCTGGCTCAGCCCTGGGGCAGAGCTGCTGGCATTCTATTTGAAAACAATGGTACAGTAAGAGTGCCCCTGGAAGCTGCAGAGGCCCCTAGGGCCCCTGTTGTTGCTCCTGAGGTGCCATCTCTGTTCTCAGCCAGGGCTTTCTTCTCAGCCTGCACTGGGAAACCGCAGAGGGCTTGCGTGGGCGGTTTGTCCAACCAGAGGGTTGATCCTGGCTCTGTGGCAGTGGCGCAGAACGTTTTGGCTTTACCATGGAGAAGTCTCCAGCCCTAAAAGTGGCAGTGGAGAGAAGAGGGGTGTGGTGGTAGATCAGATTCTTCTGGTCCCAGAGGGTCCCAACCAATTGCCCTAGGCAACCCAGGGCTGGGAGCAGTGTCAGTGTAGAGCCTTCTGCCTTTAGAGGTCAGAGCAAGGGGTACCCAAATTGAGCTGGTCTGCTGGTGTGGGTGTCAGGCTGAGAGTTCCAGGAGGCTTCGTGCCCCTGGAATCTGCCCTGACTCAATCACCTGTGTTCCCCAGTGCACACTGCAGCCCATAAACTGTTTGCCCCCCATCTCTAGTGCCCAGTTTGTGGCCTTTAAATACCATTTCCCACCAAAAGGAACCAGGGCCCCAGGGAGAAATGTCTGATTCCACATCTAGGAAATGCACGAGATGAACCTGGAACAGCTTTCATATTAGAAAGCAAGGATGCTGACAACATCTGAAACAAGTGATCCACTTTTTAAAGCAAAAACTTTGTTTACACTTAGCCATAGAACAACCAAATACATGTCATAAACAAACCAACTACTAGATTGAAGATAAAAAATAGTTAGGCATCTGTATGAAATAAACCTGAATATTCCAAGTAAATATGAACTTTAAATGATACGTAACAGTGAATAACACAAAAGTTATAGGATATAATGAAATCTGCAGTCACTGGCTAATTCTGTTTTATTCTGAATCCAAATTTTATACTCATCCTTAGAGATTAGTAAATGATAGTGTTAAAATGAAATTCCAGAGTAAATTCTTACTCTTTTTTTCATTGCATTGTATTTATTCTGGAACTGCATAAAGATGTTATCATTTCAAAGAAATAAATCAGTTTCCCAAAACAATTGTTTTAAATTCTGTCAGTCTTCCTATTTGTTATAGAAAATATACATCTTTTTCTTGCCAAGCACTATGCTAGGTATTTGAAATGCGCATTTCATCAACTGTGAGTCTGAAAGGGCAAAGCGGCAGACTCTGGGGACCTCTTGAAGTTGGCTGAGGCATCTGCAGTGCTGGTCTTTCTTCAAGTTGGTCAAACAGACGTCAAAGACGTCATGAACTACCTTCAGGGCTCTCTTTCTCTTGGCAGTGGTGGAGGTGCGGATTTTCCCAGTGTATTTGGTTCTAGGGGCCTTTGGGTCCCAGGAATGGGCATTTCTAACATGCTCCCTGGGTGGTGTCCTGGCTACTGAGGTAAGAGAATCTCAATTTAAGAACACATACGCACCTCTGGGCCTAGAGACCTGGCGCCAAGTCTGCCTGGGGTGGGGCCACGTTTGATCTGGTTCTACCTTCTGGCCCTGGGAAATTGGAAGGAGCTGAGTCTGCCCCTTGATCCTGCTGGAATAATGGAAGAGGGGAGAGCCTGGACAGGGTGGGCCTGCAAGGATCCCAGGATCCCCTTGGCTCCTCAGTGAGGCCAGTATTTTCTTCAAGTTTAATCAATGTCACAAAAAGGTAACACTTTTCACCTTTCTGTGACACTTTTCCTGGTGTTGGGGTTTTCGGCTAAAGTCCCAAAGTGGAAGAAAATGAGCTCTCTGTGCTCCCATCTAAGGAGGAGCTGCTGGGGAGGCCTTGAAAAATGTACAAAAGGGTCAAGGTCCTTTCACCCTCGCTCCAACGGTGGTCGGGCCTGAGCTCTCCTCAAATCTGAGGGAAGACCAAAATTTTACACTGAATTAGACTGGATGTTTCAACTGGCAGAAAGCACCCCCACTCCTGCTGCCTTTTCTTTCATCTTCCCTCAGCCTTCTCCCTCCTCCTGTGCTTTTTCTTCAGGGCTTGTTTCCATATGGCCATCAAAGCCCTCCAAAGGGCAGGGGCCTCAGGGCCCGTTGTCCTTGTCACGGGGCACTGTGTGTGGTCCCTTACACTGCCCCAATGTGCTGACACACACACAACTGCCATGGAGATTAGGGGCTGTAGGAGGGACCTGGGGCAAATTAAAAGGCAGAATTGGTGGGTGGGGATTAGGGTGAGGTGAGTGAGGCATCACTTTCAAGGTCATGCAAGTGTAGGGCTGGATCCTGTCTTTATTTAAAACGTGATTTAGTTCATCATTGTTTCTTCTGCATCAATTTTCATTGTTAAAATGTTGTACTGAAATATTGATCTTGATTACTGAGTTTTTACTCTCCCTTAGGTTTTGCACCCAAGGCAGGTGCCTCACTTGCCTCACCCTAGTCCCTGCCCTTGGTCCCCCAGTGTCTTCGTCATCTAGTACTGCTCTAACAGAATTACCACAAGTGGATGGTTTTAACAAAGATAAATTTATTTTCTCACAGTCTAGTAGGCTAGAAGTCCAAATTCAGGGCGTCAACTCCAGGGCAAGTCTTTCTCTTTCTGGCCTCTCTGGAAGAAGATCCTTCTCATCAATCTTCCCCTGGACTAGGAGCTTCTCTGCACAGGAACCCCTGGTCTAAAGGATGCACTCTGCTTCTGGCACTGCTTTCTTGGTGGTATGAGATCCCCAACTCCCTGCTTGTTTCTCTTTCCTTTTATCACTTTTAAGATAAAAGGTGGTACAGGCCACACCCCGGGGAAACTCCCTTTCCATTGGATCAGGGATGTGACCTTAGTAAGGGTGTTATACAATCCCACCCCAATCGTCTTTAACATAAAATTACAGTCACAAAATGGAGGACAACCACACAATACTGGGAATCATGGCCCAGCCAAATTGATAAAAACATTTTTTGGGGGCCGTAATTCGATCCATAACACCCAGGGAGCTGAGCCTCACAAAAATCACTGTTGTTCTCTGTGTTCTTATGTAATGAAAGGTTTGGGACACTGCACTGAGGGTGAGTGAACTGGGGTTGGGGGCTGTGGAAACTGGGCTTGAGGAGAAGAGTGAGGCAGTGGGCATAAACAACATCAACCCAGTGGGCAGGTGGGCCGACAGAGGCTGAGGGTCCTGCTGAGTAGGTGTGGGCAGCGGGTGGTGTGGCCAGGTGGCAGCCGTTACTCTTTAGTTTCACATTAGTCTAAATGGGGAAAACGATGGGAATGGCGCCTGGTATGCTGTTTTCTTTTCTTTCTTTACTTGTTTTAAATTGTACTTTAGATGAAGGTTTACAGAACAAACTAGTTTCTCATTAAACAGTACACATATTGTTTTGTGACGTTGGTTACCAACCCCACGACATATCAACGCTCTCTCTTCTCGACCTTGGGTTCCCTATTACCAGCTTTCCTGTCCCCTCCTTCCTTCTAGTCCTTGTCCCTTGGCTGGTGTGCTATTTTAGTCCCATTTTGTTTTACGGGCTTGTTTGATCTTTGGCGGAAGGGTGAACCTCAGGAGTGACTTTATTACTGAGGTAAAAGGGTGTCCAGGGGCCATACTTTTGGGGTTTCTGCAGTCTCCGTCAGGCCTGTAAGTGTGATCTTTTTTTGTGAGTTAGAATTTTGTTCTACATTTTTCTCCAGCTCTGTCTGGGATCCTCTACTGTGATCCCTGTCAGAGCAGTTGGTGGTGGTAGCCGGGCACCATCCAGTTGTACTGGACTCAGTGTGGTGGAGGCTGTGATAGTTGTGGGTATTTTCTGTTTGTTTTGACTCGTGCCCATAATGGGGGAGTGAGATGGCATCTCACTGTGGTTTTGATTTGCATTTCTCTAACAGCTAGTGATCTCGAGCATTGTGTTGTGTGTGTTAGCCGCTTGAATGTCTTCGTTGCTGAAGTATCTGTTCATATCCTTTGTCCATTTTCTAATTGGATTATTTGTCTTTTTGTTATAGAGGTGTTGGATTTTCCTGTAGATTTTAGAGATTAG